CGTATGATTATAACTTGTCCAAATATATATTAGTTGAATTTTTGGCCAATTATTCCTAGAAATATGCATGCTTGTATATACGTAATCATTTTATAATCTTCTTTTTTAAATTACAATATTAAATTACAAAGAAGAATGGGGTCCACAATGGGCTCTCATATGGACCAACTAAAATATTTGACCCAAAGTTGACTGCATTATACATTTGCAACAGAGAAGCAAGCTATCAATTTTCTATAAGCTTAGAATTTCAGAGATAATACGTATAACATGCTGATGATTCTGGCCTCTAGACTTCACGAATTTGGTTCTAATTTCTGCCCACAGCTGCAGGGTGATGAGCCTGAATCTCCCATGGCTGCATTTCCAACCCATCGTTCGGGTTTCGCTCTATGTGAGGGCTGTGAGGATGCTGCATTTCTCTCTTGAAGCACCGATAGATGATGTAACAAAGGATGCGCAAGCCAAAGAGAATGCCAATTATGGCCAAGGCTGAGAGAACATAACCTTTGGCAGAATGGGGTCGTTTGCAGCCAAAAAAGACTCCTACACAAACCATGGCTGAGATCAAGTGTTTGAAGATTGGCCTAATAAATTGGTCAAGTTGTGTCTCTTCCTTGTGCAGAACTTGAAATTGTAGAGAGCGGTTGAAGTAGTTGTGGGTGTATTCTTGCCTTCAACTGAGACTATTTGATCACTTGTGGATCAAGTATGGAATATGATTGATTTGGGATCATATGAAAAAGGTTAAAGTATCCCTTCCCTTTTTCATTAATTCCTCATAAAACTACTTTAGTTGCTTTTACAATCATGGGATTTAATTAAGTGTTTTGCCCTAAAAAAAAAAGAATTCCATGGATAATCTGCAGCATGAATTTATTTATTTATTATATTTAGAATAATTAAGTTTTTAATTAGATTGAAGTCCATCTAGCTTCACATCCTTTCTTAGGTGTCACATGTTGATTTATTTTTCATTTCTTTGCTTACGTGGAAGCATATTCACAACCACGTGGATTCAATTTTAAAAAGAGAAAAACTTGGCTCCTTAAAATTAAGGAAGAGCTCATTCTCAAAGCAAATAAGAATTTGACATTTGTCAAATTTCAAAACAAAGAAAGTTAAAACAATTTAAAGAAAAGAAAAAGGTTATGAAAATTGACCAGTGTCAAAATCCCATTTACATGTAAAGTAATCTCCTCCACTTTTAATGTTGTTTGATAAAAAAAATAGAAAACTTAGAGCATCAGCAATGAGTTCCTTAAACCACCTCCTTAGACATATTTTAGGGAGGAATTAGAAAAATACAACTCCAACTATGCTCCCTCTCCACCTCCTAAAATAGAGAGACTTCTAGGAGCTCCTAAATCTGAGGAGAGAGAAATGACTTTTAGTAGCTCCATATAATTTAATGGTGCTTTGTTATATGTATATTTTAAACTTTTAATTAATGATAACTCTTTTTTAATATTATATTGTATAGAGATGTACCAATTATATTGAATTAAAAAATAATTATAGTATTTATGACTCCCTAAAATATGGGGTATTATTGGAGTTCAAATTTGATAAAGAGTTCCTAAAATAGCTTTTGTGTTTTTAGGTAAATTCTAACTAAAAAAATAAGGAGTATGATTGCGAATGCTCTTACATGAGACAAAATTTTTCTTTAATAGTGGTGTTCGAGAACAGAAAAAATTGAATACAGATTCTCGGATGCAAGAATAAATTAAAGTGAGATATTGGTATAATTTTCTCAAATTAGGAAAGAAAATATGCTTATGATGATGCATATAGAATTGGGCCTTTACTATTGCAGCCCATGTTCGCACGTGCAAAAAGATACGTGTCATCAGAACCTTACTCTGCAATCCACCGGTCTCCTCCGTCGAACCTCTGCTTCTTCTTCTTCTTCAGAGACACCACATAATAACCGCTACCGCTAATGTTAGCTTCCAGGTCCCTCTTCAGGTACTGAACGCATACTCTTCTTTTAGTTCTTCTAACACTCTGTTTGCCCCCTATACCTTATTCATTGAGCTAACTATAAATAATTAAAAAAGTCTCAACAATTCAGTTGCTGAATTCTCCGTCGCCGAACAACGCCTAATAAATTTATCAAAGTCAGCATGCCTTCAATTAACATTATCGCTTTTCTTTTGTTGGGTTCCTATGTTGTCTTCCATATATCTGATTCAGCTGTAGAATTCAGTTTTGTTTCGTGGAAAAAGAAACCATTTTTTTTATTTTTTACAAGCATATATGTACTCTTTTGGAGGAGAGTTAAAGAAATGAACTTTTAATCCCTATATTTTCAAATTGCAGAGTGGATCGAGTTCTGAAATTTACAACTACTTATGCTGCATTGGAGCCAGTGAATTACTTCTTGGTTAGTTATTTTTTATTGTCATCCTTTTTCTTTTTGGGTTTAAATCAGTACAAATATCACTATGCATTTAATGCATAAGAAACTCAATCTGATGCCATAATTATATCTGTACTCTGCCTATGAAACTGTGTGTTTTGATTGTGGTTTCAGAATAACATTTTGTTGGGTTGTTTGAGTGATCAAGGATTAATTCTTTGAAAAGAGAAACTAATGAAGTAGTTTGGATAGGTTTTTTTATATATTTTTCCCCAAAGATTAATTCAATACTTTGCACAAAACAAAGGAGGGGAAATGAACTTGATTTTGAGGAGAATTTTTATATCCATGAAATTGAGTTTGGAACCAAATTTAGACTTCACTGGAGGTAGTTGTCATTTGTGATGCTTTCTGGGCTTTCAAGTAGATATTTTTGTGACTCATACCCGTGTGACAGGGATACCGTGTTTATTGTGGTTTGAGCTATAGTATTAAAATGGGTGGTGGAAAAGATAAGCAAAGTGGCAGGGATCGTAACAAAAAGATCAGAACAACTAATACTGTATGGAGACCAGTCAGTACTCAAGCCACTTCCAATGAAGGTGGGTTACCTTTAAGTATCATCATGTAGCCTAGGCTAATAGAAGCCAGCTACTTTTCACATTGATTCTAATCCTTTGAGCTTTAGATACTAATTGCAGTAAAGTTTCTCTTATTTTTTAGATGAATATTGAGACATACTGAAACATGTAATTATATCTACAACTTTGTATAATAATCTATACACATTATTGGTCAGCGATTGTTAAACTTATGATTGATTGGGTTGGAAATTTTTTTATTTATTTTAATAGGCGTAATGATTGGTTACTGTCCAGATTTTATTACAGATTTATTGGTTTGCAGAATGCTCAGTAAAGGTGACCACAGATGAGCTGGAATCTGATGCTCAAGTCCAAGAAGTGCACCATTGCACATCTACCAGAATTTCAAGTGCTCACAATGTCGTAGAGGTGGACTTTACTGCTAGTTCCGGTGCATTGCAAGATAATGGAGAAAAGACAGTCTTCAGAGGAGAATCAGTGGTTTCTACTGAAAAGCATTCAATTTCAGTTGAGGCATGATTTTGTTGAAAATTCTATTTTTCTGATCCATAAGGTTATCAGGCCGCACTGTATGTTTTTGCTTAGTTTTACAGTTTAATTGAGATTTTCAAGATATTTTTTACTCGAACCCCTTCATGCTACAATGCCTTTTCATGTATTATCTTTTTCTTTTGTTTGTGTGGTGGGGGGGAGTTGGAAGAGTTCAGGATCAGTGCCTGAGTGAGTGCTGAATAGTAACAAAATCAGTTGTATCATCATCTTACGGTAGGAATTTTCCAGGATTTTTATAGAATTGGTGCCGGTATTGCTTACCGCACATTGGACTTCAGAGGCATTTCTCATAATGCTAGTCATTGCATACTCCATTCTACCCTTTTACGTTCCTGCTACTCACTTTTTTGTTGCCTTGATGACACTCGTTCTGTTTATTTTGTTCTCACATTCTTCCTTGCTATGCAGGTTGGTGCTTCTTTGGTTCGCTTTATTAAAGGAAAAGGGTACATAGTTCAGCATGTAAATGTTTTATAAAAGTATATTTATAGGATTACTTTCTCATATATTGTAATTATTATTGTTTGTTGTGTGTGTCAGGGGATCTACACAGAGAGAGATTGAAGATGAGATGGGAGTTAAGATTATAATCCCCTCATCAAAGGAGGAGGATTCAGTTAGTAAGTTTTAACATAAAAGTTAACAAGAGTTTGACTTTATGATCAAATAGAAATTGTTCAGGTCTACAGTTGTTCAACTCTTTCATAATTGTGACAGGACATA